AGTCCGCCGCCGGGCCGCCCGCGTTCTCAGCACTCCGCACCGAGTCTCTCCACCCGCTTGCTCCCTGGCCACCGCACTTTTTCTCAAGCTCCAGCCCGCCCGCCGCATCGACAGCGAGATCGTCACGCCTAGCAGGCGCCACGGGGCAGCCCCGCTGCCGGGGTCCTCGCGACGGAAAGCCCGTCACCATGGAGATGGGGCGCGCGCCCGCGGCCGTTAAGTCCAGGACAGTTTCGGGCGCTGAGGCAGCGACTCCCAGCACCCAACGGCACCGACGGCGGACCCTTCCCTGGCTCGCAATGGCTCGGGTCGGCCGCCGCGGTCACCTCAGCCTACGCGGGCAGTGCGGCGGGTTCCACTAAGCGCAAGGCGCCCAACGATGGAGCGGGGCGGGGCCTCGGGCCGTCCGGGTCGGTCTGAGACATCCGCTTCCGGGGCTGGGGCTAGCGCAATACCCGGTTCGGTAGGCTCGCCGTGCGGTGCCCAGGACCAATCCCCAAACCCTCCGTTCACTGAGTCGCGGCCGCCCTCGCCTCGCTGCCGGGCGCCCTCGCCTCGTTGCCAGCCGCCCTCGCCTCGCTGCCGGACGCCCTCGCCTCGCTGCCCGACGCCAGTACTCTGCTGCCCGCCTCCTCAGCCAGTCATGCTGGAGCATCTGAGCTCGCTCCCCACGCAAATGGTGAGGCTGCGGCCCACCTCGGCCCCAGCATCCTCGAACGCCGCTCGCTGATCTGGCAGTTTCGCAGCCCTTGTGCAAGACCCAGTTGCTGCATCGCGGTTCCTTGCCCAGACTCCTACCTTACACTCTTCCCCGAATTGTGCCTCTTGGGTCCTTCCTTTCTCCGCGACAATCCCCCTGCCCGTTCTCCGTTAGGATGCTTCAGTTCCCCGGGGAAACCCAGCATTTCATTCCTTGCCCAGGCGCTTGGGGGAACCCCTGACGTCGGGTTGCCCAATGCCAAAGCTGTGAGACCAGGGCAGGAATTGTATGTCTTCGGTAGTGGAACCAATTCCTGCTTTGCTTTCCTTCACCCCTAGGATTACAAGGGCCAGAAGCTAGCTGAACAGATGTTTCAGGGAATCATTCTTTTTTCAGCAGTAAGTATTGGCTTTGCGTAGCCTTTTGTTTTTGTT